CGACTAAGCCACCCAGCCGCCCCCCAAAAATCTAATTTTTTAACTAAAAAATTTTTTTCTAAATGTTTATTTTTGAGAGACAATGAGTGGGGGAGGGGCAGAGAGAGAGGGAGACAGAAGACCCAAAGTGGGCTCTGCTGACAGCAGACAGCCAGATGCAGGGCTCAAACTCACGAACCATGAGATCATGACCTGAGCTGAAGTCAGAGGCTTAACTAACTGAGCCACCTAGGTGCCCCATAATTTAAAAAAAAAAAATTTAAGTAAGTATTAAGCTCAATTTCTAAGGGTTTCCTTATTCTCCCAGAACAGATTCTGTAGGGAGGAAGGAAGGAAGGAAGGAAGGAAGGGAGGAAGAGGAAAAGGAAATACCCCTAAAAATCATGGTAGTGAATATCAAAGAATATGGTGAATCTTAAGAGGGGAATTCAGTAAGCGAATGATAGGGGACCAAAGCTTAGAGCCCTTTGGGAATAAATCTTGGGCTCTGAAGTGAAAGGAAAGCTCAATAATGAGATCAATAGATTACCAAAGGCTAATGAGGCACTTACATGACGTAGGTTTGTATGGAAGACAGTGTTATGCCTTGAGAGGCTATATACGTATTCTAGTGACTCCTCCAATTCTCAAAATATGCTTACAGTTTCTTTTTTAGTATTGTTTCCAGCATTTGTGATATGCTTCTCTGAATATTTTTGTTGTAGCAAATCTCAATTCTTTTAAATATAAAAGTGACTATTTAAAAACAGATTCTATTCAGCCATTAAAAACTATATGTAGATCTATGTGAATATTGGTAAGTGAAAAAGTTGATTATACTATAGAATGTATAGTAATTCTGTTAAAATATATTTAATACACTTAGTGTGGGGAGCATTCTTAAGGGATATATAAAAATATTCACAGTGGTTTCTCCTCTGGTTGGTAGAATCAGGGAAGACTTTAATACCTATGTCATCTTCCTTACCCATATATCATAATTATCTTTGCAACAAATGTGCATTATTTTTATTTTCACATTTAAAAAGAAACAACCAAGTATGGTAGATTTAGGTGACAAATTTAATGTGAATATACTGAATAATGCCATTCAAGGATTAAAGATTGAGGGATAACATAATTGAGATGTGGCTTACTGTCACATCTATTCTCTTAAGTTAAATATTTAGCTTTCTATTGTATAGATATTTTCCATGTGGAAGACGCTTTAAGTGTATTCATTAGCTGTCTGTCTCCTTATTTCCTTTTATCATCCACTCTTGTTGATATTGGTTGGCCATATGCTTCAGGGGAAAGTGGACCCTTTTTCAGCCCTAGGAATGTAAATCTTAATTAGTACACCAACAATGGCAATTCCACACCTTTTGAAAGCAACTGCTTAACAAATGGGCATGTGATACAATTCTGGGCAGTGACAGATGAGAGAAAGTCTACTAGGGGACTTCTGGAGAATTTTCCAGAGGAGAAACGTCCATAAGGGATACCAGTGTCTGTCATATTTTCTTCTTACGTAATAAAGAACCATGAATCTGAAACCAAAAATGCTGGGTTTTTTTTTTTTCAAAAATGCATTTTTAACATCTTGAAACCTCTTAAAGAGCATTAGTAGTAAGATGATAGAAAATAAAGAATTGAGAAAATGACACAGAAGAAATACAAATTTTTACTTAAATTATGGTAGTTAAAATTTTAAAATCCATAAACAAGAAAAATACTTCTTGTACAAAAGAGGAGGAAAAGGCAAAGCGAAACAACTCCAATACACTCCTGAGTAGTTACTGTGGAACTGGGTATTTCCCAAGCTCATCCCCCAGCTGGCCCTAACTTCAAGCTAATTTAGGACTCATTCCTACACCCACCTGTTCTAATCACTCCAGCTCCTATCCTCTCTCCCTCTGAGCTCTTGGCTACCCTCAACCATATATTTTTGCACTCACTGACTGATTCACACCCATTCCATTCCCATTGCAATTGTATTTCAAGAGCGTGTATTGCTAACTATTTCATTGCAAAGTTAGTTTTTCTTTAAATATATCATTTTAAATGTGTTTCTATATTCCTTAAGTAGCATTATTACAAGGGACTAGAAATAAAATAGGATTATTGCTCACAGTTACATAGAGCAAAAACTGCATAAAATTCAAACCTTTAAGATTCTAAGTTAAAGTTCCAACTATTTTGAGACTCTATCTGTCCTGTAAGATAAACTAACCAGTTCATGTATGTGGTCAAAGATCTCTACAAATTCTTACAGTGTTCTCTAGAATATTGGCCAGATACTTTAATTAACATCTCACAAATTGCAAACTCATAGACTAGAGACCAGCTACACCAAGGCTTCGCTCTCTGAACTTGCCTTTCCCTGGAGCTAACCTCAAGGTCTCTGTGCTGTACTTGTGTAGGCAGGGGGTTCTTTTACATATTCTACTTAGAGAATATTATAACCAATTTGCTCATCAAATTAGTGAAGATTAAATATTACTCAAGTCTGTCAAGGGTGTGGAGAAACAGACACAACCATATGTTGCCTAAAGTGCAAACCATACAGCCCCTCTGCAAAGCAATATGGCAGTATCTATTAGGAATCTTTACACCCTTATGCCCAGTAATTCTATTTCTATTTGACAATTTCCTTAGTAAATGTTCATGAATGTGGATATTTATGTACAAAGCCATCTAGTCCAGTATTATTTATAATAAGCACAAAAATACTGAAACAACAGGGAAAATGTTAAATAATTGTTGCTGGAAATGTGAACTATTATACAGAAAAATAAGCTACTGGAGAAATTTTAGACATGGAAAATACTCAGGATATAAGTTGAAGTTTAAAAAGGCAGTTTACAGGACTTTGTAAAATTATTGATATTTATATGAATGAAAAACTGAAAGGAAATATCTGAGTGGACCTTTTCTCTTTTTTGAAGTGTAGTTGACACAACATACCAGTTTCAGGTGTACAACACAGTGATTCACAGTTTATATACATTATGAAGTGGTCACCATGATAAATCTAGCTACCATCTATGACCATACAAAGCACAAAGCTGTCACATTTTTACCTATATTACCTATGCTGTACATTGTATCCTTATGTCTTGTTTTATAACTGGAAGTTGTATCTTTTAATCCCCTTCCTCTCTTTTGCCCATCTCTCACCTTCCCCCACCCTCTGACAACCACCAGCTTATTTTTTGTACCTATAGTTGGTTTGTCTTTTGTTTTTTGGATTCCACATATAAGTGAAATCACATGGTATTTGTCTTTCCCTCTCTGACTTCTTCCACTTAGCATAATACCCTTTGAGTGGGTTATCTTTGAATGATGCAATTATTAGCTATTTTTATTTGTATTTTCTTTATTTTCTACAAAGAGCTCTATTACTTACACAGTCACAAACTTGTTTTTAGAAAAATATTGTTTTGGCAATACTTTGGCATGTAATTAGGTGTCCAAATCTGTTATGATGTACTCCTTAATTTAAAAAAATCACAGGAGCATCTCAAAATCATGAATTTGGTCACCCCTTTTCTGTTTGTCTTTTTCATTACAAATAATTTTCAGTGATCTCAATTTCATCTTTAAAAAAGAATATTTTAGGTGCTAGGTCAAATATATGACTTTAGTTTCCTCATTTTTCTTTTAATGTTCCCTCATTAAACTGTAACGTTGCATAGGTTAAAAATAAAAGCTATCTCCTGATGGCTGATGTTATAAAACAATTCTTAAAGGAGTAGACTGTATTATAGAATACTTCCCTCATCACCTAACTGCAAACTGCATATGCTTTTAATTTAAAAACGAAAAAAGTCTGATCAACAGAAAGCAAAAGACTTCTCTTAAAAGCTATGTTTGGTAGTATTACTTCAAAGACTTACCAGAAGAAAAGCTCCAGGTAGGTTCTAACAGCCCCATAACTATTCAATACTAAACTAATCTTCCTTTTAAGAAGGATAGTCTCTGTACTATAGCAACAGTGTAAGCTGATATAGGACTGGAGAAGTACCATTGCAAAAGGCAGCATGTATTCTGAAACAAGGTTTCCTGTATATTCTGCTTAGTTTGAAACTGATCTAAATTCTAGGATTGTAGTATTTATCAATGTCCCCACATTGTCACTGGCATGAAATTATGTATTTTGATTGATGTTACTTTAATAAGTTCTATAGCAAAATTATTGACTAAACTATATTTACTTTTTTCTTAAAGGTTGTTAATTTGCCAATATATACTTATTAATAAGTACCAAAATTATTAGTAGCTTTCAAAGTTTCAACAGTTCACTGTATTCCTTAAATATTAGTTTTAAAATCTTTACAAAGAAAATTTAAAAGTAAAAGCTTTCTGTATCTTTGATTTTCATCTGGGAGCCCTATAGTGTCTCGTACTTATCCTGTATATGCGCTTAATTAACAAACGTTAGCATGCTAGGAATGTTTTTTAATGCTCAACTTTTTAATCTCAAAAGTGATTGGCAGGACGACTTTGTAGTCACTTACGCGCGAAACCACTGTTCACCCGTGAACCAAAGAGACGCAAAAAGGTGGGCGGAAATGCACATTGGTTTCAGGTGATACCCGGATAACCACAAGTGAAGTGAACAGCAGGAACCTCAGGCTGCCCTGAAGAGATATAGGAAACCTGAGCACGAAGACGATGTCCTGGACCGCTGAGGGCCGAGCTAGCCTAAACAGAAAAGAGCAATCACGGAGCTCAGGGAACAGACAAAACAGGAGAATTACGGAAGGAAGGAGCTTCAAAAACCCTGCACTGCAATAACCAGACAGTGGATACAATGCCATCTTTAAAACCATATTTTAGGCGCTCGCTAGGCCTTGAGACTTCAGTTTCCTCAACTTGGGGCGAAAAAAAACTGCAAAGAAAGTTTCCTCCCCAAACTCCTCCTTAACCGGAGCCAGAATTAAAGGACGTCTGCTGCGGAGGACGGGAGGGCACGCATGCGCCGCGGCGAGAGGCGGGCCCTGGGGGGCGGGGCCTGTTTCTATTCTCTCAGGGTTTCCGCGGTTGCCAGCCCCGCCCGCCTCACCTGCACGTCACGTGATCCACGCACCTCCGAGGGCACCTGAGGGCGGATCCTGCAAGCCTCGGGTCTTACAGGTGGAAGTGGCCGCATCCCTGGGCCGGTTTAGCAGCGACGGCACCAGGTGGGGGAGCACGGCTGGGGTCATCTGGCGAAGCCTCCCCTCTCGGGGTGTCTGAACCTGTGGTCCTCGGAATCTGGTTCCGAGCGCGCGACAGGGGCCGGCCAGCACCCGTACCGGAGCGGGGCGCGGCCGTGGGACCCGGGTTGGGGAGCAGGGCGGGGCCTGCGGGCGTTGCGTGGAAGCCACAGCTGGGCCGAATCGGATGCCGCCTCGCGCCCCGGAAGGCCTGGCTCCCCGCCGGCCGGCCGGCCGGCTCCTGGGCGGCTCAGTGAGCTGAGGCCTGGAAGGCTCGCAGATTAGGGTACAGTCTTGGTCCCTACGCGCAGGGGGAGTAAGTCGCGGGCTTTATTTGGGGAGCTTTTGGGACATCCCCGGTTTGCTTTGGATTAGATGGGGATGCGTGTGTTGACATTGGCGGGTTCACCCGGCGGGCCCAGGGATGGAACCTCTGGCGAGACAGCTGAGCCCTGAATGGAGACGCCCACACCCGGAGGCCGGAAGCGGTAGGCTTGAGAGTGCTTTTCCAAACCGGCTGTTCGTTCAAGTGGTTGTATCGCTGTTTGGTCTGGAACTGCAAAGGGAGCTGAGTGCCGCAAAGGTGTGGAAGCCAAAATTTGTCTGCAAGATTACCTATGTGTACCTGCACAGTGGGGATTTGGCAGTTCGCCAGAAAACACCGCATGATCTTGCTTGTTTTCAGTGCGCTAGTACAGGTGACAATCTACCGGGACGTTTCGCGATTTGGTTTTTTTTTTTTTTTTTTAGAGTTTATTGAAGTTTATGTTTGGAAAAAAAGAGGCTGAAATTTTGGGCTGTGATAAATATTGTTAAAGATATGCTCCATCTGTTTGTAAAGAATTCCGCAGATAAAATTATAACAAGGGATCATGAATTACAATCTAAGAGTACACCTATCCTTTCAGGGCCGGTTACTGTTTAATTTTGCATTATTTTTCCACTGCTGGATTTATTTTTATTTTTTTACTATTGGGACATTTACTTTAAGATTTCTAACAATTTTGTATTGTGTTCACATGTAATATTTAAAGGTAAAACTCAAATGGATTTAGAAAAAAACGCAATAAATATTTATTTGAGCATGTTAGGTGCCTGAACACTGTTTTGTGTGCTGTGGATACGGAGATGAGCGAGATGGACAAGATCTCAACTCCTTTGGAATTTACATTAAGAAATAGGACCCCAAAATCAAAGGAAAGAGAATTTCAGCATGGGAAAACAACTTTCTGAAGAGCTAAGACTGAATCCATTTGACCAGGGAGGCTGGAAGGAAATGAGGGAAAGGAGGAGTGGCAGGACTTGAGATATGAGAAGTAGGCAAGAGCCAGATCATGTAACAGTTTGTAAGCAGTGACAAAGGGTTTGGATTTCATTCTAAATTTGTAAATTTGTTCTTAAGTGCTGTCTGGGTAAGTCCTTTTGCTACCCTTTCTCTTTGGTTTCCTTCTCTTAGTTTCCTTGACTTATTAAGTTGGTTCTTCACCTCAAATGTTTGATGTCATTTTATTCTTTATCAAACAAGATGGTGGACCATGACATGAGAGCTTTCAACACTGCCACTGAAATTTTGAATGAAACTGTTTTTTAGTTTTTATGAGTGAACCGTGCAGCTAATGCATCTTAAAGGCAGAGCTTTAGCCTTGCCTCACTTCTCTGCGAGGAGCAGTCAAGACAGTTTGTTAAGAGTGGAAAATCTTTTTGAGTTGAGCTTTGCCAATTTGCAATGAGGCATCTTTGAGAAGTAATTAGTTAAGGGAAAGGCTTCAGAGGTGAAATACATACTCAAGGTTTTGGATGTTCAGTATCAAATCAGTTTGAAATTATACAACAAAGTTCTTTTTCAGGAGTTATGGAACTTTATTGGTATGCCGGTTGTGACTGTGATCATTAGAGTTTATAGTCTTATTGGCATTTTCTCTCCCAGTTATTTTTATCTCAGGTATAATAGTTTTCCCTTTAAAAATATGAATGTAGGAGTTTTCTCTGAGCAGATTCTTAAATTGATTTTGACTCTTTTATGTGGACTTGAGTTGCATTTATTTGAATCCGATGATGAAGTAATCTTTATTTAAAAATTGCAGGATATTTTACTTCAAATAAGAACCATGGTGAAACTAATCCACACATTAGCTGATCACGGTGATGATGTCAACTGCTGTGCATTCTCCTCTTCCCTCCTGGCTACTTGCTCTTTGGACAAAACAATTCGCCTGTACTCCCTCAGTGACTTTACTGAACTGCCCCACTCTCCATTGAAGTTTCACACCTATGCTGTCCACTGCTGCTGTTTCTCCCCTTCAGGACATATTTTGGCTTCCTGTTCAACAGACGGTACCACTGTCCTATGGAATACTCAAAATGGAGAGACTTTGGCAGTGATGGAACAGCCCAGTGGTAGCCCCGTGAGGGTTTGCCGGTTTTCCCCAGACTCCACTTGTTTGGTATCTGGGGCAGCTGATGGAACAGTTGTTTTGTGGAATGCTCAGTCGTACAAGTTGTATAGGTATGAATATTTATATCCTTTCTGTTTTAAAATCTATTAACAAGTCTACCAAAAAAATTAAAATGGAAAGCAGAATATTTTGATGACTTGAAGAAGCAGGTAATTTTCATACATCACAAGGAAAAACATTTTGAATTGTTTTCTGAAGGTCAAAAAAACTGATGTTTAATGTGGTTCTTGATGCTTGGCTCTGAGAGTTTTGTATTTCCAGTCTTTCTCTTGTAAAATAAGGGTTAATCTTGTTAGACTTTTATGGATTTGACTTTAAGAGCTAGATGAAGAAAACGGTCTTTTGAATAAGGTTCAGTAATTTTAGGCTTTATTTTTGTCACTCAGGACTCAAGTGTTCTCAATAATAGAGTAATGGTAGGTAAGTCTTACTTGAGAGACACAGATATTTTCCAGACTAAGATTCTTGCGGGGTGAATAGTCAACCCCGGGGGGAAAAAAACCAACCCTTGTAATTAGTGTAATGTTGTGTTAATATATATATACAAAAAACTAAACAGACAAAACAAAACTGAAAACTCCTTTTAGATAAAAATACATCAGTTGCTTTACACTAGTAACGTTTTGTTGCAACTTGCCAACATGAAACCTATGTACTTTTCTGTATATTGTAGTGAAATATATATAACACAAAGTTTACCCTTACAACCATGTTTTTCTTACTTTTTAAAAAAAAAACATTTATTTTGAGAGTGAGCGGTGAGAGCATGCATGCACTAGCAGTGGAAGAGCAAAGAGAGAGAGAGAGAGACAGAATACCAAACAGATTCCACGCTATCAGCACAGAGCCAAAATCAAGCATCGGACGTTTAACCAACTGAGCCAACATTTCAATATTGGCAATAAACTTTTCAATAGAACCAAGTAAAATAGCTCAGTGTGCTTTCTCTTCCCTTCCCTCCCCAGCATCATTCAGTGCACATTAGATTTAGGTCTTTTGATTGAAGAAGGTGAAGCGGCGTTAATGAACAGTTTAAAGAGAATGCGCAGGAGGAATGACGTCTTTAAGTTTTTTATACGCATGAAATATACTGGTCAACTAGGAAATTTTCCTTTTCACTTATCAGATGATGATGTCAGCCTCTCTAGCATTGCTTCCCTAATGTATGCTGTAAAATGCTACACTGCAGTAGAATTAAGCGCTGGATGGGACACTGCGCTTATTGTTGGGCTTTTATCATTTATTTCCCCTAAATTGAGAGAATAATTAATACTGTCAGCACAGTGCTTCCTTACCTTCCCAAGATAATTTTAACTTGTTCACAACATTTTCTTTTCATAAAGAATTCATACTTGAAAATAAGATAAAAGGTTTTACTGTTGCTTCTTTTAATACAAAAGTTGAAAGTACTCTTGACCCCAATAACATGTTTTTCAGTAAAAATAAGCTTTTTTTTTTAATGTTTTATTTATTTTTGAGAGACAGATAGAGACAGCATGGCAGGGGAGGGTCAGAGAGAGAGGGAGACACAGAATCTGAAGACAGGCTCCAGGCTCTGCGCTGTCAGCACAGAGCCAGACGCAGCGCTCGAACCCACAAACCGTGAGATCATGACCTGAGCTGAAGTCGGATGCTTAACCGACTGAGCCACCCAGGTGCCCCAGAATAGGCTTTTTAAAAATATGTGACTATGGTTGATAGCACTGGTTGTCAGAGCTTTTTTTGTTAAATTTTGTAGATTTTAAACAGACTTGCCATTTGGAAAAATACAAAGATACATGGACTTTGGTTTAGATCTGTATAGTTTAGGCTTGAATACATTAAAATGATGTTTAAATTCTCTTTTTTTTAAGTAGATAATATTTTATTTCTACAGACATCTACTGCCCTTTCTAGTTATGGCCTGTTTTCCTGTTTTTACTATATCAAGCTGTTTTTAGAAAATATAAGGTCACAGATACTCTGAAATGAAATGAAAATCTCCCCCTTTTATTTTTTGCTTTTATTTCAGGTGTGGTAGTGTTAAGGATGGCTCCTTGGTGGCCTGTGCATTTTCTCCAAATGGAAACCTCTTTGTCACTGGCTCCTCATGTGGAGATTTAACAGTGTGGGATGATAAAATGAGGTGTCTGCATAGTGAAAAAGCACATGATCTTGGAATTACCTGCTGTGATTTTTCTTCACAGCCAGTTTCTGGTTAGTATTTTACTCTTTTAAGCACTAGTGGTTCCTATTTGTAATTTGTATATGACTTTTAGTTCTTTTATTCACTTTCATTTCACCTTTACTAAAATGAGAACTCCTTTTAATTCATTCCTTTTAAGGAATGATTCTCCTTTCTCTTGATCAAAATGAAATCACAAAGAACATGGGGGAAAATCAGGTTTTTGAATATATGTTGGGGATGACTCATCTTTGTACAGCAGATCTGGATTCCTTGGCTATGGTAATTTAGAGGACTTGACCCTATTGGTTGTGCTGTAGTTTTTAAAATACAGTATGTTAATATTCAAATAGAATTGTGAAATTAAAAAATTGGAAATAGAAGCTATATTTTCAAAAGTTTACTAATTTAATTTTTGAAGCAAAAGCTAAATTTATGACATGTTTGCCAACACAATTAGCTTTTAGAAGAAATACACACTCCTCTGAGTATAGATAGACTCTTGGTTTTAAATAGATAGCAGGGAGTTAGTAAGCTTTCTTCTGCTTCATTCCCTGTGTTCAGATGGGACTTCTGCCTTTGTTACTTCCAACCTTGTTACTGTCCTACTAGCAATATAATGGAGGCTACATTTCTAAATTTAAAATTTTTTAGTAGTAGGTAATGTTAATTTTAATGATTTATTCAATATAGATTAAATGTTTCAGTAATTGATAATAAAATAAGATATATTACTACTTTTTGGCACTAGGTTTTTAAAATCTGGTGTGTATATTCTGTCACATTTCAATTTATACTAGCCACATTTTAAGCGTTCAGTAGCCACATGTGGCTAGTGACTACCCTTATTGCACAGCCCAAGTCCAGAAGGTGGACAGGATCATTTTGGCACTCCCCTATTTCAAACCCATCAGTGAATGATTCAGATGAGGTTAAGGTAAGAGAAAATGCCGGATTCAAAACACATAGCCAGGCACACTCTGTTTCCCTGCCTCTCAAAGCACGCTTGGCCTCTTGCATTCTCTTGCCACATTGGCCTCCTTTCATTCCTTGAATATTTCTAAGATTTTTCCAAGGGTTTTACAGGTGGACCCTTCACCTGGTTCACTCTTAGATATCCTTTAGATTTCAGGTAAAAATCACTTAAGGTGAACCTGTGGTTACCTACTTAATTGTATCTTAGTGCGTATCTGTGCCAAAACTTCCTTTGACGAGACTGCATGTGTGATGTTAGGTGGAACTTATATAAAACTGAGTTGATTTCAGTATTCACATTACCCACAGGTATTTAGGAGCTTATCTACTGTGTATATAATTATACACTGAAATTATCTCAGTAAACATTAAAAACGAATGGATTTTTTATGACACCAAATTTACTGATTCCTTCCCCAATTTGTATAATTTCCACCAAATCACATAAACTGAATTAATGTTATTTTGGATTTATGTAATTCCAGGATTTTTCTTGATTAAATCAAATGGCAGAAAAATCTCATTGTTCCATGTGAATTATAGACTAAGGTTTTAAGAAATGGGTATGTCCTTTAAAAAAAAAAAAAGGTTAAGTTGAAAATAATTAAACGTTTAACACTCATAACTATAACTTTTCTTCCTAATTTTTTCCATCACTACTAGCCTCACAGACTCTAACATTGGGCAGGAGAATTCTCTAGGCTTAGTGACTCAATATCAGCCCATGGAGCCTTGAGTTACTTTAGGGGAAGGTAAATTAAAAAAGGTATTTTGTTGTAGCAACTTCAGGAGCAAGATTCCTAATCCTCTGAAGTACCTTGTTTAAAATAAATTCTTTAACCAACATTTCATTCTATGGTATAGGTTAATATCTCTTGTGAATATTGTGAATGAATAGAATTAACATCTCGATATAGGAAGTTGAAAATTTTTTTGGCTTAAATGTTTTATCAATTCTTGTGTATTTATTTTTAACAAATTTACATTTTTAGATGGAGAGCAAGGCCTTCAGTTTTTTCGATTGGCATCATGTGGTCAGGATTGCCAGATCAAAATTTGGCTTGTTTCTTTTACCCATATCTTAGGTATGTATTAACTAGTCGTTCTCTAAAATTATTTGTGATCAAGATAGAATTTCTATTTGAATTATTCTTTTTACTTAAGGAACTCTAGATATACAGAAGTGATTATAAAGATATGCTTTAATAAATTTTAATCAGTAATTATGTATACATGATTTAAAACTTGGACGCTCATTGCTGATTATGACCTCAGCCCCATCACCACACACATTTCTTCTGTGCGCTTTATCCTTTTGCAATTCTTTGTGGTTTTCACAATTTCTATAAATGTTGTTGTACCACCATATTTTAAATGTATTCACTGTAGGGATTGTTTTTTGATAGTGCATGGGAGGTCTTTCTTCTATGTATTGGACTATTCCTTCACGTGACCCTTCAGTCAAAAAACTTACATTGTTCAGCTTTGGAAAACAGTATTCCCTTAAGTTGTTTCTTTAATAATTTCTTTCCCATGTCCTCTCTTTTAATAACTCTTATTAATAGAGTATTGGACCTCCTAATTTCATTCCCTATGGAATTTTTTATTCCATCATATTTTCAATTTCTCTTAGCTCCTCTTTTTCCTCTGTTTCTTTCTCTTAGTGTTTTCATTTTATGAATGCAAGACCATCTCAAACCTCTTAGGACATCAATTAGAGGCTTTTTGTTTTGTTCCCTTCTGTTTCCTGATTAGCTTTGTTTGCTCTTGGGCCCTTTTTTTTTTGTTTACTCTGATCTTTCTCTTTCCTATGGTTGCGTTCTTCAAATGTCTGGTGATCCTCATTTTCCATTTACATGCAATTATTAGACAATAATAAGATATTTAGAAGCTCTATGCACATAGTGGTTTGTTGCTGGCTTCCCTTTCAGATAAGGAGGTGGGTCGTTGGCCCTTTCTGAGAAGGACTTAGGGGCTTAGAGAATTGCCCTGGGGCTGCTATGGAGCTGCCCAGAAAGCCGTTATTTTCCCTAGAAATATTTTGCCTAGAAAGAAGTTTCAGGCTTTCATTCAGCATGCTATGGATGGGATCAGGGAGGGATTAGAGGTAGACACTGTTTCATGAACAGACTTTTCACCAACTTTTTTTTCAGGTCAACGTCTGTGTCTTGACATTCCTTTTCCTCAGCTTTTGATAGTCCTAAGTCTTTTGGGAGTATTCTAGGGCAGGTTAGCTCTCTTCCTGGACCTAGCCCCTCCTTTTGCACTCTGGCCTGTTACTCTATACCTCCTCATCAGTTAATTTGCTTTCTGACTTTCCAAAATTGGTTTGAATTTCTGGATTGTTGATAACTCTCTATTCTCTTCATTGATGTAATTTTATATCTTTATTAATTCTTTCACTGTCATTTTAATGAGAACTCTGAAATTATATGATCATTTAGCCATCTTGCTTCAGATGCCTAAAAATATTTTATTATTTGTTACTTAATAAGTTTCAGTGAAATTACAAACTGCATTTCGCTGTTTATAATTATTGTCAAAGATAAAGCTGGGCACTAAAGTGCTAAGGATAGATTTTAACCTACTATTGCAGTAGGGAGAAGAGTCCAGCATGAACTGTAATCAACTTCACTTTATGCAGAGGTGACTGGGCATCTTGAAGGGAGAATGAGGGAATAAGGAAGGGAGTAAGTGTGGCTCTGTAGGGTCAGGGAAATAAAAATTACAAAAAACCAGGAATGATGGAGCCATGTGAATCTCATCCAGGTTTGATAACTGGCACTTAGGGTAATTAGGTTCCTACCCTCCCACAGAGAGTAGGATACAGGGGCCCTGTCTTCAGGTGTTGGCTGGAACAAACAGTAAATTCTATTGGCAGCCTTGAGTTCTCTCAGGCAGGTATTCTAAGCGGTCTAGGGTCATCCTAGGCGTGCAGCTGTGAGCTGTCAGAAACTACATTAGTATAAGTCTGTAATAGGCCAAAGTCAAGGCCTTAGTTGAGAAGAGGGCTCAGAAGAGTTTTGCTAGTGTTTCGATCGAGGAGAGAATCTTTGTCATTATACTCGTGTATAGAGAAGAGACCATTGTCAGGGAATAAATACATTTCTTTTTGTGGAAATTTAGTTAATTTATTGCCTATTAGGTTATATTTAGTACTTCTTTTAATGTGTTCAGTGACAGGCTAGTGAGGATTGGTGTCCCTTTACTTTGCTGCTGTCCTATCATTTTGCTCCTGCCAAACTAAAATTTTTAAGAGAATCCTTGAATATAGTGCTATATTGGAGGTTATGAATATGTCTTTAATAATTATTCCAAAGTAAAGCTTTTCATGCATTGTCTGGAAAATGTGTTTTTACACTGACTCTCTTTGAAAAACATACTTAACAGTTTATAAACATGCATAGTTAAAGCCTTTTTATAAAGTCTTTATTGGGGCTTCTGGGTGGCTCAGTCAGTTAAGTGTCTGACTTCAGCTAGGTCATGATCTCACCGTTCAGGAGTTTGAGCCCTGCATTAGGCTCTGTGCTGACAGCTTAGAACCTGGAGCCTGCTTCAGATTCTGTTCTCCCTCTCTCTCTGCCCCTCCCCTGCTTGTGCTCTGTCTCCTTTTGTTTCTCAAAAATAAGTAAACATTTTAAAAAATATAAAAAAATAAAAATAAAGTCTTTATCATCATTTGCATCTAATTATTTTAATTGCTTATTTGTGGGGATATGTAGATAGACTTAGAGATTTTATCCTTGAGAATATAACCTATGGTTCTATTGCAAGTTTTATTGGTCTTCATTTGGTTTTCAACTTGTTAACATTTTTGCTGTGTTTGGGCGGGTTCATGATCTGTGTTCTACAGTGCCTTCAATGGCCACATTTTCTCTCCCTGATGAAAAATACACGTTTCTTTCTATTTTTAATAGAAATAAAGAATGTAATTTAGTAATAATAGTAAATTTATTTTTTTTCTATTTGTTGAAACTTTTACCTTCTCTAGTGACTTTTTGTTTTATTAAATGCTGTTTTCATAAGAGCCATTAACACTTCAAAAAAGTTTTCATTAGGTCTGAGAAAAATTAACAGATTTTGCTTATTTCCTTAATTCCTCAGGTCAAATTTTTAATAATAATTTTTATAGCTTGTCACTAAAATGTATTGAATTCCCTCGGTTTACCTTTAAAATAGTTGTTATTTCATTTCAGTAATTATAGAAGGTATTAAAAGGATTTTACTGTTCCTGTGATTTGTAGGAGTATTATATATTGGAATATAAGATGGACAAATTATCATGGATTATTTTTATTTAAGGAATGAAAATATTTTCTTAATATCATGTTTTAAAAACTGATCTTTAGGCATTTGAGCAATTTGATTCCTTTTTAGGCATTTGGGAAATTGGTGTGTGTGTGTGTGTGTGTGTGTGTGTGTGTATGTATGTATGTGTATATATATATGTGTGTTTATGTGTATTTTTTTTAATATATATATTCTTTAAGTAGGTTCCATGCCCAGCATAGGGCTCAAACTCATGACCCCAAGATTAAGAGTTGCATTCTCCACTGACTGAGCCAGCCAGGAACGCCATATATATATATGTATATATATATATATATTTTTTTAATTAGATGCCAAGATTGTCTTATACTATAGTTTAAAACTTTATATTAATTTAAAATTTTTTATTTTTATGGATTTTATAGAGTTTAACATTTTACATTTTAAAAGCATTTGATCATTACAATCCTCTTCATCTTTGCTGAGTGCACCATTTACTTTATGCATTACTGAACTTCTTAATCACACTGCACTTCAGTACCTGAGTTGCAGGAGGATTTTTTTTCATTTTTGTATTGTTTAGGCACTTAAAGATTATTTATTAAAATAAATAAGTGAAATAGTTTTGACGTAAAAATAAGTTCTAAGCACAGTCAGCTTGCTAATTTTTTTCACCTTATTATTTGCAGGTTTTGAATTAAAATATAAAAGTACACTGAGTGGGCACTGTGCTCCTGTTCTGGCTTGTGCTTTTTCTCATAATGGGCAGATGCTAGTCTCGGGGTAAGCTTTTTAGTAATTTCCTTAAACCATTTTCATGTGAAATAGAACAGACATACATAAAAGTACGTAAAACATAAGAGGATAGCTTAATAAAGTGATACAGACCTGTGTAACCACTACTCAGGTCACGAAATAGAACATTACTGCTTCTACTCCAGAAGTCCTCCTCTTCCAGGTACCCCTATAGGGTAATAGCACCTTAGGTCATATACAGTATTGCTTTCTGTTTTAAACTGATTTAAAACAAATCATACAATGTATATTATTTTGTGTTTGGCTTCCCTTAGTCAATGTGATATTTATGACATTCATTCATATTAACACAACTGTGGTTTGTTGATTTTCATTGCTATGTAATATTCCATTGACTGTGTATACTATAATATATCCAGTTTAATGTTGATGGAATATATGGATTATTTTCAGTTTGGGAGCATTACAGTAATAATTCGGTGAATCTATTTGTATCTTCTAGTGTACATGTTTATGCATTTTTGTATGATAAATACATAGGAATAGAATTTACGAGCCATAGAATAGTTGTATTTTCAACTTTGGTATATAACATCAAATTGTTTTCCAAGTAGCCGAATACCCCTGTAACAATGTCATTTTATATCTTAGCCTATACATGATATTTGGTGTTGTTTGTCTTTTTAAGTTTAGCCATTCTTAAGGATGTGAAGTGTTAACTTACTGTGTTTTTTGCATTTGTCTAGAATGATGAGGTTAGAATCTTTTCAGAAGTTTATTGGCCATATGTATTTCCTCTTTTATGAAGTGGCTGTTCATGTTTCTTGCTTATTTTTCTTTTGTTGAGATTTTATATATATAATAAATATTATATATATTTTGTATATATATACTCTCTCTATATTTCAATATATGAGCCATTTATTGGTTCTGTGTGTTGCAAATATCTTTTCCCTTCTGTGGATTTGCCTTTTCACAGTTTATAATTTTAGTGTAGTCAGTTTATGTTCTGAGTCATGAAGATATTTTCCCATATTATCTTCTAAAACCTTCATTGTTTTTCTTTTCTCAAATTTGATTTGTGTGCATCATGTACAATATAATCCAGTCTTATTTCTTTCTATATAAATAGCCAGTTGTCCAAGTACTGTACAACGAAAATGTCTTTTCTCCATGTTGTTCTGCTACCTTGTCAGAAGTCACTGACCGTGTGTATGTGTGGATCTGGTTCTCAGCCTGCATTTGTTATTATAAATAATAAACTTATTATTTTTCTGTTTATTCCCTGCTCTAAAACGATTCTGTCTTTCCAAGGTTTTATATTTTAGCTATTCATGAATTTTGACACTTCCATATAAAGTTTAGAGTTATCTTGTCAGATTGCCTCCACTTACTCTCTGTATAACAGGCCTGTTTGGATTTTGACTGGGGTTGTAATGAGTCTGATAAAAGTGGAAATAATTGACCTCTTTATGATATTGAGTCTTCTAATCCATGAATGTGGCATATTTCTCCATTTATTTTTGTTTCGATTCCTTTCAATAATTCCTTTCAATAATTGTCATCTGTGTAGAAGCCTTCCTCATCTTTTTATTAGATTTATTTCTAGGCATTTAATTTTTTTTGTTGCTGTTATAAAAGACATCGCAAATCTAGGAAAGTAAATCCGGGAAAACCATGGATTTACTTGTAAGGATCTTAAATTTTGTATTTTTGATAACAAAAATCAATCATATCATGTTAATAATGATGATTTTTGTTTTTTCCTTTCTGACCATTATACCTTGATATCCTCTATGTCTTACTGAACTGGCTGACACTACCAAGGTAATGGAAACAATGATAATAGCCATCCTTTGATTCCTTTTTGCAAAAAGAAAGCTTTCATTATTAAGGTTGTTCATATGGGTTTTGAGGAGATAAACTTTATTAGCTCTTCTGTTCCTTCTGGCTTATAGGTTTCTTTTTTTTTTAATCGTGAAGAGGTACTATGATTTTACATGATTATTTTGAAAGAATCATGATTCTTCTTTTATTCTTTTAGGTGGTAAATTGTATTGACTTTTCAAATGTTAAACCAACTTTGCTTTGTTGGAATAAACACAGTTTAGTAAGGACTGTTACTATTTTTGTGTATTGCAATAGAGAAATCTGATTCTAATTCTAATGCTTCTTTTAGTTTAATTTGTATTTTTTTCACTGGCTGCTCACAAAATGTTCTCTCTGTGGTTTTTTGCATCTACTTTTTATCTAGATTTGGATTTCTTTTTATTTATTTTGCTTTGGAATTCACTGAGCTTGTTAACTATGTAGAATAATAATTCATCAGTTAAGGGGAAATTCTTATTCATTATCTCTTCAGATATTGCCTCTGCCCTTTCTCTCCTCTAAATCTGGGACCCTAACTGTGAAATATACCTTCTTTATTTATATCTTTTATCCTTTTTTCTGTATTTTTCATTCTCTTATTTCTTGTGCTTTATTCTGAATGGTTTCTCCTTTGCTGATGCTCTCCTTATATAGCTTTATCTGATATGTTATATTAAACTGGTCCATAGATGAATCCTTAATTTTGGTTATTTTACTTTTAATCTTGGAATTTCTGTTTGGCTATTTTATCAGGTCCAGTATGTCACTTTTTATGATTTCTAGTTCTCTGTTGAAAATTTTAATCTTGACTTTTATTTTCCAAAACTTTGTTCTGTAAAGCAGTTCGTTTGGTACACAGTGGTATGATTCTGTTACTCTATATTCTCCTATATGTGTACTTTGGTATATTTTCTCCTTGCTGCCATTGGATTTTCTCAAACTTGCCTGTCTGATTTCACAAGCCATAGAGCTGAAATGTACATTCATGGCTCTTCACAGCAGCTTTTGCTCCAGCCAAGATATTTAAGCTCCTGTCATTCACTTAAAATATTCTGAACTGAACCTGATAGTTCTTTTCCCATATACTCCAATCCTTCCCAAATAATAAGCCAAATAACTAGTTACATTGCTATTATTTTAGATGTGACTCTTTTGTCTCAAAAGATGAAAATAGTTCATAAAGAGAGCATTTATAATAATTCTCCTTTGACCTAGCATTGAAATCATTGGAACGTTAAACAGATAAAGTTGGATTTTCTTCTATTATTTGGGGGGATATATTGTGCATTTCACTTTTGAGACGTCAATTGACAAAATGATGGTATGAAATTCAAGTATTTATGACTCTTTTACATACCCCGGTCTCTGCCAGTTGCAATAGGGCATATAAAAGAAAGTCTATAACAGTGTGCCCTTGAAGATGTTTTAACTCTCCTTCTTGATACTCATAGCAATAACCTAATAATACTGCAAGATCTAACATGCCTTTCTTTGCTTTCTGAATCATGAATGAAGTGTTAAGTGGTATTCAATATAGTTTTTGTGTTACTATTTGTGTTATAAAATGGTATTTTATAGCATAATTCCTTATGTGTATATCAAATATAATTTACATTTTATGTTAACTAAATTATACCTTTTAAGTCATTCTGGATAAATGGAATTTTATGTTGTTAAATACTTTTCGGCATATGGTATTGCTCTAGGTCACATTCAGATATTTTTCTGTATATTGTTAGTTCGTTTGGATAAATATACAGGCAAGTGAATTGTTTGGAAATGTAAAGGATGGTGAAAGATAAACATTTAGTCTTTTAGGAGAATTGGGACATATGTTTTAACCATATTTCATGAGTAGATAAAGAACAAGTTAATTGGTCGATAGATTCCATCTGCAACTGAGAATCATTGGTAAGATGGAATGGATATGCTAAAGAGAGAGTAGGAAAACATGAGTTAGGATAAAAGATATTTAAATACAAGTGGCTACATAGGAAAAATGAATTGACAACAGAATGGGATTATAGGTCAGGTATGCTAAGGAAGTTGAATAGGAAATAGATATGGGGTGACTGTGTAAAAGGCATTATGGAATTTATGCAGATATGGGAGGATTGGGAAACAGGGCATTCCAAGGAGCAGGAAATTCTTGAGTAGATTAAAAGGTATGATAAATGTAAAGATGCCTGAGTGGCTCAGTTGGTTAAGTGTCCAACTCTTGATTTTGGCTTAGGTCATGATCCCAGGGCTGTGGGATCTAGCCCTTGTCGGGCTCTGTGCTGAGTGTGGAGCCTGCTTAAGATTCTCTCTCTTTCTGTCCTTCAGTGTCTCCCCAGCTTGTACTCTCTCTCTTTAAAAATAAAATAAATCTTTAAAAAAAGTATGATAAAAAATAAATGTAAAGAGAAGTAAGGGGAATTGAGACTGGAAAAATAGATTGTAGAGATGAAAGAGACCTAAGATGTTGTTATAACTTTGTATAGATATAGGAAAACGATTGAAACTTTGAAAGCAATTCTAATATGCATCTCCTAGCTATAGGAGATGGGTGTTAAAGGTGAAATAAAGAAATTAAACCATGATTTAGGTCAATGGTTCTCATACTTTTTGGTCTTAGGATTCTTTGACATTCTTAAAAGTTACTGAGGACCTCAAAGAACTTTTGCTTATATGGGTGGTGTGTGTGTGTGTGTGTGTGCGTGTGTGGGCGCACGCGTGTAGATAAATATATGTGAATATGTGTGTATATCTATATCTATATCTATATCTATCTATCTATATATATCTCTCACTATTTACCAAAAATAGAATTGAGAAAATTCTAAAATATTTTTAATTCATTAAAAATATAAACTCATTGCATGTGAACATTTTTTCCTTAGGAAAAATAAAGAGTGGCATCGTTTTACATTTTTAAACATCTCTTCAAAATCTGGGCTAGCAGAAGATACATGGGTTCTCATGTCTGTTTCATAATTCCATTGGCTCTCAGAGCTATGATGGCATCACACATGATGAAGCAAAATATGTAGGAATTTATTCTTTCCATTTTTCTCTCCATCTCTCTTCTAATAATTTTCCTCTAGCCCCTTGGCAGATTTTATCTTTTGTTCTACCCTACTTCTCTTGATCAACCAGGTAAAATAAGCATTATATAC